GTCAAACCAGACTATATCACTTTTAACCAATTATAGGGAGAGGCTACTTTATTACTTGTAAACGCATAATTGTTTTTTCCAGTCCTGATGTATTGGATACCTCTTTCTCATAGTAAATGGCTTAAAAATTGTTTAGTCTGGTTTGATAATTCTTATAGTTCCAGGCTTATGAGCGATTTACAAGAAAATACACAAAACAAAACGGTAACAACAAAGACCAACTTTAAAGTGACATTTTAATTTGTTATTTTAAATACTACGAATAAAGTCAGTGAAAAGAATCACACGGTGTTTGATTTCTGGTTGTGAGGTCATTTGAAGATTAGGGTTTATCATAGAAATGCTGCAACTTTGACAATGTACGTGCAAAGCATCAGTGAAGAGCAGTTGCTGTCAGCTGTTCAGACGATGAACCGCCTCCAAGTTTTACACTTGAATAATGGAACACACATTAAGAAACTTCCTGACATCAGTCAACAGTCTCTGCTGAAGGCTTTATCCTTGTGGAACGAATAAACATGTATTCGTTGTTTTCTTTTGTGCATTTCCGGAGCTTTACAGGAGAATACCTCTTTGATTACGGGCACAATATTTTGTGTTGGCCTGTTTATGAGCACCTGTAATAAAGCCATTTCTTTTAATTAAGCTGTAATAGAACCATTGGCTATGTTATTATCTACAAAAATATAGGCACCTCCTTTAGTATCAGAATTTTATATATATGTATGAATTTTAAAGACTTACATGAACAAGTTATACTGCTTTTGTGTGTAATAATATACTAATAAAAGTATCCTGTGGGTTGAAAATAAACAAGAATTATACTGAGAAATGTAGAATTAGGGATTCGAGAGGAGGATCAAGCAGTAGAATGAGATGGAGAGAGATGATGATGATGATGGGAGGAGGAAGAGGAGGAGAAGGATGCTGATTTCTTTTATTGTACAAAAATAATAATAAGTTTTTTTTATGCATCACATTAATAGCAATTAAAAATTTTAACGTGGATAAATATGAAGTTAAAGTAAATTTAGTTTAAAAACTTTATATCCCATTAATTAATTATTCTATAAGAAATATAATTTAAAAAATGTTTATTCATTCATTACATAAAAAAATTTAATGAGTGACATTTATGAAATATATTTTTAGAATATTTTAAAAAAGGCTTTCGTTAAAAATTAATGATTTATTAAGAAAAAAATATATTATTAACAACAAAAATAGAAAATAAAGAACGAGCAAGGTTAATTGGATAGGACATATCAATTAAAGGAGGAAGAGAGAATAATTTCTTAACTATGTTCAATAAATATACAATAGTTAAATTGTTTTTTTTTTTAAGTTAATAATCATTAATTTAAAACATATTTATCATTGGATATCGCATAAAATAGCATTTGTCGATAAGGAGGAGCGTGCAATACTCTTGTTAGATTCCAAGAAGCAAGGTTAAATTCCTAACTAATTCTCCGAAAAAATAATGACATTTAATCTCTTTAAATTGAAAAAAAAGGATATTATTTAATACGTCACACAAGCTAATGTTAGTTTAGTAGAAACGTTTAAACTTCCTCATTTAACTAGTGAGGTGCAGTAGTCTAACACGTTAATTACAATGAATTAACTATTACCCTCCTCCTTTACTTATTGCATATAAATTTAACTAGTTAATTAAGCAATAAAATAACAAATTTGATAGTTTTTTTTTAAAAGTATTGATAGGATTTTTCTGTTAAGTCAATCAGCAAGTGAATAGAATTTTAAAGGAGGAGAAGGGAAGGAAAAAAAAAAAGATGATGTTATGGAGGCTGTAAACCGCTACTTACAAATAATTCTGCACATGTTGTAAGATGAGATACGACTGTCCCGTGTTAAGTACCAAGACTGCAGGGGTGAATAAGATCATCACACTCCTGCGGCGCTAGTACTTAGAACGGACCAGTACGGGCCACACCACTGTAAAAAAAAAGGAAAATATATGTACAGTACTTATAAACACGTACGAGGTGTGAAATTTAAGTATAACGAAGACATTTAAATGATAATACTTACCACTGGTATACTGGTAATCCACAATAGAGAAGGTATAGAAAGAGGAGTGTAAAAGGATCAACAGGAGGTTGTAACATTTTTAAATACTCATTTGGGAAAATGTAATAGAAGGTCGCCTTGATTGAACTCAATTGATTATGATCAACCATTGGACGAATTTGATGAACTAACAATGACCATGACTCGGTTTATTTGCAAGTAGGAGAACAGATGTAACATCCCCAGCAACATTTTCGTTGATGAGAAAATTACTTTCTGTAATGAGGATACGACAATGGAATAAGCTTTTAGTTTTGAAGTGCACACAGTTGTGGTTTAGGTTCACGTGGTCACAAGATGGAACGTCGGGGTTATATTCATTGGAGTAGTAGCGGAGCTGAAATAAATCTATCACCGGAATACTGGTTAATTAAACCGGTATCATTAACCACCTGACACATGTCTGAGAGTTTCAACGTTCATTTAATGTAAGAGGAAATCGGTTAAGAAATATTTCCTGGATGTATAGTCATATTCAATATTTTATTCTTTCTATTTTAATTAACTTATGCTTGCTTTATCTATATTAATTGCGATTAATGAATTTAAACGTCATTAAAAAAAAAAGAGAGAGAGAGAGAGAGAGAGAGCGGGTGAGAAATTCTCTCTTTAATATATTTTAAAGTTAAATTTTTATTATTTTTTTTTAAATATAAATTAATTGTGTATTTAATGCATTAAATTTTAATACAGTCGACCCCCCCTATAACACTGTTGATAATTCCGTTTTATATGAATTCCATGTTGTACGAGTCACTTAGATTTTACAAATATGTGTGCCTGGCTGTGAACGGCTCACATATTTGTAAAATCTAAATGATTCGTACAACATGGAATTCATATAAAACGGAATTATCAACAGTGTTAAAGGGGGATCGACATTAATTTAGATATTTTTTTGCACTTTTTTAGCGCAAAAACGTGATAAAATGTAAGTTTTTTTTTACTTTTTTATGTAAATAATCGATAAATAAATAGTTAAACTATGAAAATAATTAATTATTTTTTCGGTAAAAATGCAAAACTTTCGTGCTTCCCCCCCATTAAATTGACAAAAATTTCAATTTTATTATTAAATATTCAATATTTACATATTAATAGAGCTTAGTAAACAATTAAATATTTAATTTTGGGAATTAAAATTGCCAAAAAAAATACAGGGTTAAAGGTCAAGGTCGTAATTGGTGTATCGTGTGTCAAGTTCATTGTTTCTCCTCGTAATAAATGTGACTTTTTATAATTTTTTTGACGTTTTAAGGCCCAAAAAATGTGTAATTCTTCTGTCTTTTTCCATTCTTAAAATCACTCTCGCCGTCTTTTATTATTTAAAGGACAATTTACTTGTCACGTTCGATCAAAATGGACCGATTTATACCATTTAAACTGCCTTTTTTTTTCTCTCGCTATTTTTGTCTGATTAAAATCTATTGGTTGAATTTTTATTATATATATAACTTTTGATTATTTGTCCTTGCATACCACGTGACTAAGCCCATTGTTAAACTTCCGCCTAATTTCAAAGATCCCTTTTAATATATGTTACTTAAAGATAATATCCTGTTAGTTAAGAGACTATAAATTTATTTTATTATTTTTTCTTTTTATATTTCTGAAATTAATTTATTACATTCGTTCGTCGTCTTTTATTATATTAAAACTCGTATCGCGGTCACGTGGTAAGAATAATTTCGATTGAATGGAAGTATTCTTGAAATTTTTATTACATTTAAGTAGTTCCTGGTTATTAATAAAAAAATACTTTTGAAATTAATTCCTGCTTAATTACAATTATCTTTATTCACGTGATCTTGATCTCCTTAAAAAATATTTTTCGAACAATATTAAATTTTAATATTTTATTTCACTATTTTATTATCTTTTAAATAATTTGTGTTAAAATTTGATAAAATAAAATCAATTTACGTTAATAAACATTAATAATTTAATTTCGTCTTTCGGTCACGTGATATTGAAAGTCGTCTGGTTTTTTTCCTATTCAATTTTTTTTTTTAAATCTTAATTACAATTTTAAATTTTTTATTAAGGAATAAAAGATTTTGAAAATAATTATAGCTTGATTATATAATATACATATCATTAATTTACAAAAAATTTTATTAACGAAATTAGTTATTTCACGTGACTTTGTATTTATTTTGAATTTTTTAATTTGAAAAATTGCTGAATTTTCTTATATTTATAACTTATAAAAAAATATTAATATCTATATGCGTGTATATTATATTAATTTAATTGTAAAAAATATTAATTATTAATTTAATTTAAAAAATAAGTTTAAAAAACGTTTTATGATGTAATATACATTTAAAATTTTTGAAGTAATACAAAAATGCATTAATTTAATTTATTATTTAGTTTTAAATAAAATTTATTAAAAGTATTATGAAAGAATATGCACACTACNATGAGTTTTTATTCACTACATAAATTTTATTTCAAATTATATTTTATCATATGATTTGTTACGTAATTTGCTCACAAAATTTTATTAATAGACTTAATTCACATATTTTTGCATTTTATTTTCAAGAAAATATAACAAAATTATTACATAAGTTCAATATTAGTCCATATTTTTGTAAATTTTTAAAATATTGAGACTTTATTGCGCTTAATTACGTGACTTTTAAGGGCACCTCTCGCTTCAGTCACGTGATCAGGAGAGCTTTCGTCCATTTATTATTATTATATAACTATTATTTTTAAAATATATTTTAATTATTTACATTATAATTATAATTATAAAATATTATTTTTGTGAATTTAAACAATATTTTTGCATAAACTTCAAATAATAAAATTTAAATTATCACGTGATAATGCTTTATATTTTTGAAATATTGCTTCTAAATTTAGCCTCTATTTATATACGTTAATATTATTTGATTGTGAAAAAAGCTGAAAGTAAATTAAAATAAATTGTATTTAATTAGGAAGTAACTGCGAAATATATTTTTCGTCACGTGACAAAGCATCGATTGTCTGAATTCTTTCCATTAAAAATACAGCCGACATACACTAAAAAAATAAAATAAAATAAACATAATGCAAATTAAATCAATTTTCAAAGCTATATTATTTAATCATAACGAAAATTAAAAGCAAAACTGGAAGATATTCCGAGAAAAAAAATTCGTAAAATTAATACGTAAGTGATCAAGGTGACGTCAACGACTACGAAAGCAGAAATGATTACGATGGACGTGACGTAACGATCGGGTTGGAAAATCGTAGAAAGGCAACATGACACCGAACGTGGTTTTTGTTTTAGGAGCACCGGGTTCCGGTAAAGGTACCCAATGCGAAAAAATCTCGAATGAATTCGGTTACGTTCACTTATCAGCTGGTGATTTACTGAGAGCGGAACGTAACAGTCCAGGATCAAAGTATGGAGACTTGATAGAACATCACATCCGCAACGGATCGATAGTACCAGTGGAAATAACATGCTCCCTATTGGAACGAGCCATGATTGAAAGTGGATCAGAGAACTTCTTGATTGACGGCTTCCCACGTAATGAAAATAATTTAGAAGGATGGAAAAAACAAATGGGAGACAAAGCAAACGTTCAATTTGTACTGTTCTTCGAATGCGACGAGGAGGTGAGTTCCTTGCAAAAGATGCTCTTGATGAAGGTCTAATAGATTAGTTGGAATGAGTTGAGGGTTTATAATTATAATTGACGATCCTTTCCTGTTAGATCTCGTTCGCGCTCCCAATTAACCGTGTTAAATCGCACGTAAAGAATATATTTTTTCAAATTGTTTAACTAGCAAGAGACTCTTCGCACGTTGTGATCTTCATATGACGTGTGTAATTCTTATTTATCTTTTTAATTTTAAAGATCTGCATCGAGAGATGTCTACGAAGGGGTGCAGAAGGAAGTGGAAGATCGGATGATAACCCGGAAAGTTTAAAGAAGAGATTTCAGACTTATCATCGCGATACAATGCCAATTATACAGCATTACGAACAATTAGATATAGTCAAGAGAGTCGATGCTAATGTGTCAGCCGATCAAGTCTTCGAAGAAGTTAAGAAGATTTTTAAGGGAAATTAAAAGCAAAATTTTTAATTTTGTTACATATTAAAAATTGTTAAAAAATAATATAAATTTAATTTATATAAATATATATATATATATAGAGAGAGAGATTGTTTGTTGTGGCAACGTTGAGTGTCGTTTCTTTTTTACACAATTTATCACGTGTTTTCGTATAGGAGCTATATTGATTGTTCTATTGTATTATATATTTAATATATTATTATGTATATAAATAAGCACCTGTAATGCTGTTATAAAGAATAAAGAGCTCTCACAGATACTTTTTTGCTAGTTTACTTCGTGGTTAAAAGGGTGTTAAAAGTCAAAATTTTATTATACCTTATAAAAATACGAGATGGCCCAAAAATCGGTTAACTGAGTTAAGAGCGTATTTTCTAACACAAAATCGATATAGTTGGTTACAAAATAACGGCAATTTAGACTATACAACGGTTAACTGGCTTTTGGGCCACCCTGTGTTTACTATTCTACATTAGATAAACTCATGCAATTAATGCACGAAAAGTGTGGTGTTGGTGTTACAATTTAATGCACTTTCTGTACTAATTTATAATGTGAAAGTTGATTATATTTGTGTGTAACACGTAGGGAAAAATCAGTATCTCTTACGTATAATACGCACTACCCTACACTATTACTGTATTTAGATTTTCGATATCGTTGAGGGTATACTGACCTTTAGCACGTACGAGCTGACCTTTTTCTGTATGAAAATATCGGTCCATAACTCCCAAAATGACTAATTTCAAACTAAATTATAAAGGAATTAATAATAGAAACTCATTATTCCATTCGCCGTTTGAAACAAAATGGCGGCCGGAAACGAATTTTTTTGTGAAAAATTTAAATGGTTTCATCACGTTTTCGATTGAAGGACATTTAAATTTTATTTCTAATTAGATTAATTAAAAATTATTAAGCTATATATCAAGGTGACCCAAAACTCAGTTAACCGTTTTACATTTACTTTGAACTATTCTCGGTTAACTGTACTGTATTATAAAATATTCAGTTGTATCATATAATAAATTGTACTTTAATCATATATAGTGTGCTAATTTACTTATGTATAAGCGAAANTCAGTATGAGTCATAATATCTTATCATTATTTGCTTTTATATTTAAAAAAATTATTGGTTACTATATACAATTGGATATACTAATAAATAATTAATAAGGATATATAATAAATATTTTTACAGCTAAATTACTTCAGAATGTATAAAATGTACAGTCGTCTTAACTGTTGTATTCGATAAAAGTCCACATAAGTGAGGTTAAATAACAGATGTTCTATTGTTACCATTTTCATATTCAATTACTAAAATACTTCATGCTATCTTAGAGTTCTGAATAGTATTTTGAAGACGACATTTCATCATCCTAACACTGAAATAATTATCAATACTAAACCTCCTCTCTAAACTGTATTAAACGTGGGTTATCCTAGTTTTATGTAAATCGGTTTTTAAGATATAATTTAAAATATTATAAACTTACCTTAACAAACTTTTTTTTTCGTATAAAATAACACAACATCCAGGATGGATGACACTATGTTTACTCACGGGAAACGACTGAATGAAAAATAATAAACTAGAATAGAGAAAGCAGGAATTATGCTAGCCTGATTCGAAAAGAGTATCCTGGATACTCTACCAGACAGGCTACACCTCCCTTATCACAGTGGGAGAGTTGACCAAAAAAGAGTAAAAAAAAAATAGTCTAAAACTATATAACAGTGTTGTCTCCATATGGTAAAGAACTATCATTTGAATGAACCTAATCGAACCGAACTGTTAAGAGTTTGAAGCGACAGGTAGATGTATACATGGTCCAAAGTCTATATAGCGTATAGTAATAAAAATCCTCTTTACAGCCATCTGATTCGACAGCTCAAATATATGACGTTAACACCTGTACAGTTATAGAACTAATAGGATATCAAACTAACTCACATATATGTGTTTTTAAGTCAGAAATTCTCATTCTTATCTTCAGTTCCTTTTAAGTTTAGGTTTTATTTATATTTATAATACAGATAACATGTTTAAAGAGTTATCTTCAAGTTTATCTAGAAATATATCTACTTAATCAGGGATTTAAATGTGTTTTTTTTAATCACTTGAATCACTTGTTTCTGTGTTTTAAGTATAATCAAAGACATACTTACCAATGAAATGTCTTGTACTGTATAGGCCTAATAATATAAATAAATGTTATTTAGGTGTTTCTTTATAACAATTTATAATTTATAAACAATTATACTTACTTATAAGCCATAAATTATAGCATTGGAAAGGCTTAGGGTATCAAGTTGCATCTTCTCTACCTGAATATATTAAGTAAGTATTATATGTGACTTATCTAGGTTTTATATCAACGAATTTCCTCGTTGTTTCGCGGTTTTCATATCGTTTATGCAGAAAACTTTATAATAATTATATCAAATACACAATACCTTACCTGTAGCACATGTTTAGACACAGCTGTGACGTCATAGAATTATGTACATCCGTTACAAAAGGGAATAGTTTGTCCTGAATTTGTTCAGCCCTCTGAAACAAACAGGAAATTTATATATTAAATACTGAAGCCAAATTATATATATTTATATACAAATAATTTTTCAATTGTTCCTTTTTTGACGTTTACAAGAGACTTTTATTTTTGAATTTCTGTCACGTGATCTAGGTATATATTTAAATTTCTCGTGTGCTGCCATCTCGTATCAAGAATTTAAAACAATTAAATTACGTATCAGACTACTGTATAATAAATAAATAAAATTATTTTTTGTACTTCTAAAATAATCGAAAGTATTTTAATTAATTCGAAAAATTTAATAAATTTTATATAAATAATTTAAATACATAGTGCATAAACATAAAAAGTTTAAATACACTAATACTGTACTTTCATTGGGCGGCGATCACGTGATCGTAATTGAATCAATTGTGCCGCCATGTTACCGGAGGTAGTTCAGCACTGAGCGATATGAAAATATAAGCATTTTGGCTTAACGAAGACCATTCACTGTGATATAAAGCAAAATGCATGGTCAAAATAGAATACACCCTTTGTATTTATATCTTTGTACAACTTATGTGTGACTTATTGCAAGTTGGCGCCATATTTGTGACGTTTCCGTTCCGTTATAACGTCACCTGATACACGACAGAGTAACCAAACATTAAATGGGGAAAGCGTAATCTTTGAGTAAATTTTAAAACAATAAAACAAATTTGACAATTACAAAAAAAAAAATTCATTAAGTCCGATCCTACTCGAGATATGACTCACGACCCCCTCGACCTTAATTAACTACCAAAATTTAATAGTATCGATTCCCCTAATATACAAACCTCCCTACAAAATTTTACAAGTTTTCGACAAAAGTCAAAGGGATTATTAAGCTTCAAATTGGGTAAACAAAATCGTCTCCCCCCACACACATCCATACATACAGAAAAAAACCTGCAATTTTTTTGCATTTCAGAGTCCAAAAATGTAAAAATGTTCCCATATTTTTCCTTCATTACATATAACAGAGTCGGGAAAGTAAGATGTTTTCCATCTACACGCAAGCCAAATACAGTACATCTCCACAAAACAACACGGCACAAATATGGCGCAGCGATGACGATTTCATCACGTGAGATGACGTTCATGCAAGTTCTCTATAGGATGGGATTGGATTATTTGTATATAAGACAACGCGACACTCCGGGGAAGTCTTTTTATGGAAGGTTATGGGAAACTGGCACCTATTTAAGTGCTACTAACGTGAAGAAAACCCGATAAACTCTACGTGGCCATCCCACGCTACAAGTGTTTAGTGCTTTTATCCACTAGAACACTGGTGGGAGGCATTACCTATTAAATAACATATAAAACATTCATTTACCTGTTTAGTCTATTTAGTGTTGCAGGCGAAAGCCATATAATTCGTCACCTTTTTAAGTTCAATCTAACCAAAAACCTCCGGTAATATGATGGACAAATGCCATTAAAAAGAATAAGTAGCGAGGTTGCGGCCGAAGTTTTCATCTCTAAAACGTGAACGTCAAACGTCGAGCGCCGCTATCTTGTAAGCGGCGCTCGACGTTCGACGTTCACGTTTTAGAGATGAAAACTTCGGCCGCAACCTCTTTAGTGTCTCAGCATTGAACCGCCGCACTAGTTACACCATCTGCCATCAAATTTTACTGTTTTGATTAAAATTATTTATTAAAATATTAAATAGAAAATTGACAACCACAGTTACGTTTAAATAATTTAAATTTACAGAAAAAAGACCCGAATATTATAATTTCTGACGAGGATCACCAGAAGATTCATTGCTCATCTTAAGTTCATTAATGCCAAATTGCAATTGAATATAATTAGATATTACAATCAATTTAATTTCACATTTAATTAAGACACCGTTTGCGTAATATAATTAAAATTAAACAATTATATTTAAGATAATTAAGGGAGTAATTACAACGATATGCGCCTGTATCTACGCTTATATTTCACAGTATTTAATATTTATAATCGATGTAATTTGATAAAATATCGATCCAATTTATAAAATTGCTTTCATTTCGAATTAAAAATGTGCATTTAAATTAGAAAATACTTATAAAAAAACTAAAAATATGCCGACAATTTTGATATTTATTTTAACAACAAAGCTGTTNGATTCAATGTAACTTTTAATATAAAATAATTCCAAAAAAATATTTAAAATATTTGAATATACACTTACTAATTTACTTCTTCCAATATGCATTAACTGTTGTCTTCATATTAGAAGAAGCAAAATTAGGTTTCTTATGAAATATCTTCGTTAAACTTTAACTGTATATCGATGAAAATCTTCTTATATTTATATATAAAATAGGCAAAGAAGTATTGCACGGCATCCATTTTGTGAACGTAAAAATGAGCATGAGATTTTTTTAGACATGCCCATTACTACGGTCACAAGTTGGACACGGCGACTCTACGAAGATAGTAGATGAGCCAAACTGAAGAGAATATGAAATGAACAAAAATGATTAGTAAACTGACAAAACGGAAGCGAACAAAACTAAAAATATCTGGTAATTTACCCGATCCTTAAAATTTCATAGTCCGTTGACCATTCTCCGCTCGCCTCGTCATTAAGCTTTTATAGGTTGCATCTGTTAAGATTAAGGTTTCAGGTATGAGTTTACAGGTGGTTTTTTTCATAGTTTTTCATATTAACTGAAATTTTAATTGTTTTCTCATGGGAAATTTTTCTAAAATTTAATTAGCAAGGTCCTAACAAAGAGGATCAAAGCGCAATACGCTATAAAGAATTTTGGCTTTAAAAAATGCCGAAAAACTCGTAAAACTTTACTGTATTGTTGGAAATTTCCCAATTTAAATTAAAAATAGACTTTTAACGCCATATTTGTTAGAAATTAACTGGTTAGATAATTTAAACTTAACTTAACTGCCAGACAAGCTTGTTCTGCTGGAAAAACTAATTTACAGTAGCTTGTCGCATGCTTACCAAATTGAAAAATTATTATTAAATATAATTACTGAATAAAGTTTAATATTGAAAGTATTTAATTTTAAACTTACCTTTATCTTTCTTTTCTATTATGAAAATGGCGCCCATATTTTTCACGAGCTTGTAAACGTTGTTGCTTACAGATGGTTAACAGGTGGTGTGTATTTATAATTTAGGAAATGTCTACTTTCAGACATGCAGCAGTTTGTTTTATAGACATGATTTATGAAAACGTATACGTGTTTGTTGTGTATAAAACATCTGTTTAGAAAAACCACCTGTTTATAAATGAATCATCCAGTAAATTGCTGGGAAAATTTATATTCTAAGTGCAGAAACAGTTGTGCTTTATGGATGTATTCATTTATTTTTTAAATATATGAATATTAGAATATAACTAAAGCGAATAATTTCAATTTATAAGAACCTCATTTGCCTTACTTATATTAAAATATTCACATATTAAAATTCATATTTATAATCGGTCTATTAGTGTCTAGGTGGATAAAACCACTAAACACTAAAATTTAGTCGTGGGTTTGTGCCTCTCCAACGAACTAGCCACGTGGAGTATTCCGGGTTTTATTCACGTGTCTAATACAGTAGAGCCTCGAAAACTCAGCCTAATGTGGACCGAAGGGTGGCCGAGTTTGTGAAAATGCCGGGTTATCGGAAATGGGGTTAAAAAAAGATAAGTATGCGTGTTTCCTTAGAAAATATTGTACTGTACTTGTATGTATTGTTTGCTTGAAAATACAACAGAGAATAAACTGCCCAAATACCCTTAAACAAAAGAAAAATACGTCTTTATGAAGGCGTAGAGCCTTTACTACATAAAAATGAAAATTAATGAATACACTGTGTATAGTAATTTACCTGATAAGACAGACCTTAGAAAAATACTTTATGAGGCATAAAGCTGTCTATAATGAAAATTAATTAACTAAGAATTTTTTTGCTCTGCCAGTGTGTGGCCGAGTTATCCGGAGTGCCGGGTTATCGAGTGCCGAGTTTTCGAGGCTCTACTGTACCTAAATTTCCTGTAGAAAGTCCATTCCTTTTGGCAGATCGTCTACGTGTCGCGTTGCCACACCCCATCAAACTAAATTATATATTTATAATCCAACATATTCCATAAATTTTGTTATTTTTCCATTATTTTATATAATATCCATTAATTATGGATGATTAAATCGAGGATGTTATTGATTCAAATACACTCAAAATTAAGCATAAATATTCTTAATAACAAGAATGTTGAAAGCCAAATAATGTTTTAAATGATAAAACATTCTTTAATAATAGATAAACCTTAAATTTACACATCACAAATGTAATTTTGCTTATATTATATACACATTATACATATGAGTTTGTATTGTTTTTAATCAGAGTTACGCTTTGTAATTAAATTTAATTGTAATTAATGATATATTGATGTATTANTTATTAACAATTTAAATATAATTGATATTTAAAAATTATAAATCATATTAACGATAAACGATTTTTATTTATTTCTTAAATTGTTTCATTTTAAAAAACATAAAATAAAATAAAAACGCAGACTTCATTTTTCAGAAACAATGTGGAAGATGTGTTCTTCGTGTCAAAGTCCTCAGTAGGATCAATGAATGTCATGCCACAAGTCACAGTTAACTCTTCTTTTTCTGGGCACTAAGAGGATTTTTTTTACCCGTTCTCCGAGTTCTCTTGACGGCCGAATAATATTAGTTACGTATTATGACGTATTCAAATCGAATCATCTATAAAAAATGTTTGTGGTCTTCGACCGGAACTAGAACTCGAGCCCCTTAAAGCGGCATTCTGACACCTTTAGCTTTCCTGTCGCTGAAATTTCTTTCTGTTTTGTTGTTTTTTTCAGATACATAATGATATCTATTACGATATATTCCGGATTCACGAGTGGCCGAATGGATAAAACCATTGAACACTTGTAGTTTTCAGTGGTTTTATCCATTCAGTAGAAAACTCCAACGGACCAGCCACGTGGAGTTTTCCGGTTTTTTTCACATCAGTAATATAAAATAGGGGCCAGTTTTCTTTAAAAAAGACCTCCCGGAAGGCATCCTTCCTATGCTGATCGCCCAAGTGTTGCGTTGCCGTAACTAAAACAAACAAACATAATTTAACTAATTTCTTCAAATACATGTAAGAAGAAAAAAGCATATAGTATATGATCATATGCTCTTTTTTCTTACATGTATTTGAATATGATTATATTTAAAACATTTTCCTCTCTGATACCACTTTTTCGATTTTTCCCATTCTATGGACTCCAAGACGTTGTTCAGACTTGTAATAAGACGGCCGAGACTTGTTGAACGAAGCCAACGTATTTCGCTCAGATCACCCTTCCAAATTTCTGAGGATTCCACCCGGATCCGAATCCGAGTCTTACAGACAGGCATGCTGAATAGTCGCTTCGGTCATCTGTTTATATATATATATTTTTTTTTAAAGTCTTTCCGCTATTTGGGCACTAACAGGACCTTTTCAACAAGCTCATTATTCCTTTGTCCAGACCACAAGGAGGAGACCGGGTGAGAGACGAACCCCGACACATTCAGACAGACAATCCCCGAAAAATTCCTGGGATTTTTTTTGATTTGTTTGGTTCGATCCCGGGTTCCCCTGAGCAGTAGGCAACCATCTTAATTACTCAGCCATCCGGTTAGCGATTCAAATAACTTTTTTATGTCCGACATGAATTCGCCGAGATCCACCATGGAAGAGTTTAGGTAGTAAGAGAAGAAACTCGACGATTCAAGTTTATGTTGGTTGAAAGTTTCTCTGAAATATTAATAAATATTGAAAAATAATAATAATAAATTTTTAAATTATATTACAATTTTAGTCCTTTTCTAAACATCGCCTCTAGTAGCGAGCTTACAAACTAGTTTTACCACGTGACCGTAATGAAAATCTGATCGATTTCAGTGTTAGCACGATTATAAACTTTATTTAAATAATGTTTTAACTTTAATTTAAAAAGCTTTCTAGCTATACATTTAGTTATTGTAGAGTGTAGTTATTTTGTTTCTATTTAAATAAGGTAAGTCACAGTCGATATTACTTGAATCATAAGCTTTTAACTTGTAAAGGCAAATTTATTTGAAAATTGACGTTGTTTCTTTTGTCTCACCCCCAAAAAAAGTAACATTTAAGCTTAGGTTTATCACACAAACGTGTTAAAACAGAGAAAAGCAATTCATTAGACATTTAGTGATAGCAAAGGGGGGTCTACCGGTAGGGGGATTTTCCCACCCCACGTGACCTGCATTTGTACCTCTGCTATTTTGATTGTAATGGAGTCCTTGTAAAATAAAATCTATGCTACTTTTGAATTTATAGTTCCTCTTGTTTTATTTTTGTTAGGAATGTTCTACAACCTCGGCGGGTTACCGATGACTTCTGTAGAGTTCTAATGCTACCGAAGGTTCGGTCCGTTTTTCAAATGTATACGGGGCCTCTGGAATGCACGCCTTCGGCAAATCACGCACGACGCCTTATTTTGCCAAGGAAAACATTTAATAATCGCAAACGTTTTCGGCTCGCTGTACAAGCCGTCTTCGAGCATATTACATTCTAACAGAATTTTGGATATAACAGATTTAAATATTAATAAAAGAACATAAAACAACTTTAAAAAGATGAACGTTACGTGAAACCAAACTCAAATTATTGATAAAAGATTAAACATATAATTACAATACAGGTATACCTCGCCTTACGTCGGTAATTGGTTCCAGGAAAACGACGTAAGTCGAATTTACCTGTCTCCGAATCTACTTATCACTAGGAAAGCATTTTAAATAATATATGGTTAATAAAAATCTATTTTAAGCTTACAAACAAATAAATTTTAGTTTTTAATATAGTACAAAAAAAATAATTTAAATTTACGAATGCGTGTACTGTAAATACAGTACATACTTGTATATATTTTAATATGATTTTATGTGCTTTAAACGTTTATCTAGTGATATTACGACTTCAATATTTGTGGCGGACAGACGTAAAGTCGAATAAAATGACTTAAACTTGATTTTTATTTTTCCATATACTTTTTTAACAAGCGACGTATAATCGGGAACGACGTAAGTCGAGGTATGCCTGTATGTAAATATGGCAAATTAATGATTGGGACTGAAATTTTCCTAAATATTGTCACTCCTTTTGTAGCAGTTACAATTCTATAGCTCCTGCAGGTTACTCCTGTTGAATGATGACGAGTGATTCTGACTTTGCAAACGGTAGAACATAAAATGCCTTCTCTATTCCAGTGTCATCAATTTTGTTCATGGCATTTTCTATGGGTAATAGACAATAAGACATTTGAATGCAAGCAGATGAAACTTGAATGGTTACTTTTATTGATTGGTGTATGTTCATACTTGTTGGATAATAATTAACATAGTTACAGTAATTAAAAATGGTAGCACTCATTTTAGAAGATCTATGTAGTTCTGTTTTTTGAATTCCTTTAATATAAAATAGAACTATACATCTTTCAGACTAATATAGAGATTATGGTTTTTATTAATTATATTTTTGTCTAGAATAAATTAAGATTCTAAGTAAATTGTCTACAAGATTTATAGACTCCTGACAAATTTTCATCTTGTGAAGCTACGGTCCCTAATTATGGACTCTAGCATGTTACCTCTTATCCTTGTTGTTGGTGTCTATGGTTCAAAGATAAACCTACAAAGTAAGCTAGATTAAACAAAAAGATTTTTTCATAAAGTACAGGCATTAGGTGCCATCTCCTTGATAAATTACAGGGTGGTTATAATTAAAGTTGCTCTACTCAGAACTGTATAGAGCTTATTCTCGTTGACATATTTTGATGAAACTTGGTATATACGTTATATGGACCATTGGGAAAAGGAAAATGCAAACAAAATATTTAGTTCAAATTTCTACCACTAACTGAAAAAATGGCATATGGTAGATGTTATGCAAATTAGGAATCTTTTAAAAAGCTGGTAGTCGATGCCATTCTTTATCATGTCTTTACAGAAGAAAGATTGAGCTTTATTAGTAAAGTTGTTTTATCAGAATGGCAGTAATGGTTTGGCTGCACTGCGATAATATCGACGACTTATTAGTGCACTGCGATAATATTGAAAGGCTTGTGAATAGGGCCTATGTCAGGGTATGGTTTAAGAAAGATGATTAACAAATTTGAAGAGACTGGAGAGTTGCGTGTATTGCCAGGAAGAGGTCAGAAAAGGATTTCAAATGAAACTGTGGAGCCATTGCTGTGATTGACAGAGCAAATGCTTCTCAACATTCTTTGGTGAGTACTTGAGTAGTGTCATGTGATTTGTCTCTTAGATGGTTTGAAAAATTATATGATCCATTTTACAGTAGTATCTGTACAAGATCCACATGTTGCAAAAATTGCACCCTCAAGATCCAGAACAACGCACAGAGTTTGCTTACTGGTTTTTAGCAAGAATAACTGTTGACAATGCATGGCCATGGAACATTTTGTGGTCAGACGAGGTGCATTTCATCCTAGACGGAGCAGTGAATACTCAGAACTGTTGCATATGGAGTACTGTAAGACCTCATATGCAACAGGTATGTGATGTTGTGCATGAACAGCCTCTGCACTCTGCTTACATTGACCATTTGGTGTGGTTTCACTTCTGACTTCCTTCTTGGCCCCTTTTTCTTTGAGATCACACCACAAGGCCCTAAAAGGTGTTCTGTGATGGGTGCCAGTTACTTCAAACTTCTGATGCATCATGCCATTCCTGCTTTACAAGAACGAGGATGTGTAGAGACTACTGTCATAAAGCAAGATGGGGCAACACTGCATATTACCTGACAAGTGAATGAACTGCTGCATGACAAATTTGGAGACAATTGGGTAATTTTGAGTTTTCCAAATGCCTGGCCTTTTCCATTCTCCTGACTTCAATGCCTGTGACTTTTGGTTGTTGGGATATCTGAAAGATTGTCTACAGAGGAAGCATACGGACTCTTCCTGAATTGAAAACAAGCATAACATGCCATGTTGCTGCAATTCCATGACAAATCTATCGAGCTACTGTTGAACAAGCTGTAAGATGTTTTGAACACATGATGTAAATGTATTGCACTTTGAACAAATGTTGTGAATAAAAACTCTTTGCATGTTTCCATTTTGTGTTTCTTGTTCTTCATGTGCCATTTTTCATCTAGTGGTTGAAATTTAAACTAAATATTTTTTTTTGCATTTTCCTTTTTTCCATGGTCCATATAACTAACGTATATACCACGTTTCATCAAAATATGTCAACGAGAACGGGCTCTACACCGGTCTAAGCAGGGCAACTTTAATTATAACCACCCTGTACAATTCATTTCAGTTTTGTGATGATACTTTTGCATGGCGATATTTGTATTTTATTACACCAGAGTTTGAATGATTTGTGTTTAATAAATTTAATATGCTTGGGTGGACGAGCAGTTAAGGTGTTGGCCTACTGCTCTGGGGACCCAGGAATTAGTATAGACAGGTCAAAAAGTCTTCAGAATTTTTCAGAGGATAGTCCATCCCGGAAATGTTGGGTTCCGTGTTCAATACCAGGCCTTCCCATTGTGGACCTGGTTGAACTCACAGTTGGCTTGATGAAAAGGTCTTAGTGCCCACAGAGTGGACGGAGTAAAGTAAATAAATTTGTTAAGTTAAATGTGTAAAATCAAATATCAATTCAAGAAAAGTCTGCCTTTAATCGTACTTATAATGGGATTAACCGGGTCCACAATGGAGGAAACTAGATGGTGGGGGATGGGGACCAACATATTTAAGCAAATCACTCATGAAAAATTCTTAGGGGTTCACTTTTCCAGCTGTTATGTAAACATAACAGGAGAAAGTATTGTAATCCTGTAAAATATGATCCTCAGTTTTTTGCAAATCTCCATGTTTTGAGACCACCTGAACCCAAAAGATTTAAAAAAAAAAAAGAGGGAAAATTGTGTGTGTGTGTATATATATATATATACATAACACTGAATTTCCTCCTTTTTTTGACTTGTTGGCATCTGTTTTGTTTAATATTTCAGGACAGTTAATGATTAAGAAACAAAATTTGGCATGGTAGTCTGTATATAAGGGGCATTGATGCTATTAAATTTTGGTGGTTAAAGGTCAAGAGACTGGGAGATAGAGGAGGGTCATGTGTCATTTCTCAAGAGAGATTAAAGATGGGACACCCACAAAAGTTGATTGGAGCAACATGATGAACAATATAGTTTTGACCGTCTAACTGTTTAAAACTTATATAGCAGGGTTGGCCAAACCGTGTCGAGATAGGTGCCATATATCACTTATCAGAAATATGAGAGCTACATTCTCTGTTAGGACAGTATTATATACAGTACATAATGTTTAAATTTATAAAAAGAACAATAAGTAGGCTGTACAAGAGCCACACTGAGTCAAGAAGAGCCATTTACAGCTTGCAAGCCACAGTTTGGCCTCTGTAAATATATAGTGAATTCTGTTTACATAGGAGTTCTTTGTGAACAAAAATACGGACCTTAATCAATGGGATGTTGAAGTTACTGTATTATTGACAATACTAATCCTTCAATATGATGAATAAGTAGTAGTAATTTTAACAAATTCTCAGTCAATCTTGTAGCAATTGACAGAATTTAAAGAATTGCATTAAGATATATTAATAAATCATTTATAAAAATCTTTTTTTTTAGAAATTGTTATATATACATTATATAGTTTTCATTTTTTATATTTTATAATAATCATTTATTAATTTTGCAGCTTTGAATATGGCTAGAAGTCGTAGTCGATCACCCCGTCGAGGTAAGAGTTTTAGTTATTTTCTACTTGCTGTTTTTTTATTATGGTATTGTTACATCTACAATGTGTCATTATATAAGGAATAAAGTTTAAAATTATAATATGAGGCAATTTAATAAATCAAAAGGTCAAACGCTGCTATTGACCTTTTGCTATCGAAACGTCAAACACAATGATTGACAAAACTCCAAAAAATACAACTGTAGTGGCTGCTGCTCAGTTTCATCCCTCTCTTTAGATGTGAAATGTTTTTAACTGTTAAACTTTTTGGTGTGTTATGTATCCGAGTCATCTTACTGGGTTTAAGGATATTAAAGAATTCTTAATACAATAATTTATTAAAATTGCATTAGATTTTTATCTAATATGTGGGTGCTAATAGATCCTGTTCTTGTACACGTTCCGGGCTTATCGAGGCTCTCAATGAGATATATAAGGGGTGTGTGATGCAAGTTTAACCTGTCCAGCTTGTATTATCTATGTTAAAATTTTTGAAGTATTGATCCTGGCCTGATACTCAAATCCAGTGTTCTTTTAGAATGCCTTTTAGTAATCCAGACACAAATTATATGAAACAAATAATAATTAATACAAGCCTGAAAGTATGGAAATATTCAAAATCTCAGTGCACAGCCAGCATCTCTCAGCACCTCCGTTCAAGATCTCGGGCAGTGGTTGCTGCAAGCATCTTTTTCGGTGCTCGATACACCAGCAAACAAGATGGCAGCCACCACGAGGCTTGTAAGAGCTCTACTTTGCATTGACAATTTTGAATTTAATTAATTCGTTGATGAATAAACCCCGAGTAAATTGAAATTAGGTTAGTACGTTAATAGAATATTTTAATATACGTTGTTCATAAAAGAGTATCATGTTATGATATGTGGTATTCTTTTATGATGTTAGTGATGTAATTTTATAAAATAGAGATCTGGCCAGATTGTAAACAGCAGTTAATCATCACAAAAATACTAAGATAGGTAACACGCTAAGCAAAGTATTTTATATTAAAAGTAAACCTTTAATGAAATTTTTCTCTACTTAGACAGACGAAGGAGTCGTTCTCGATCCAGAGAAAGAGACAGAGATAGGGACAGAAGACGAGGTAAATTGTATTATTATTATTTTGAATTTCTTGATAAATATTCATGAAAAAATCTCTTGTTGACTCATCAATTCTTATAAGTATTTCACATGTTTGCTGCCCACACAGGGATCGACATGCTTGACTGTGTGCCGAAAATTTTTTTTTTGTTATGCCTGCTTGTTATATGTGTGTTTTAAAATGTTGAAGAAATTATATAAAATATACAATACATACAATAAAATTATACAAATTAAACAATATTAAAAATATACAATAAACAATAAAAATTACTTTTCCTAAAATCAAACAATAAAATTTTCCATGTGAGAGAAACGGCAAAGTTTTACGATGCTTGCAGGAGAGTTTGACACGTGCGGTGTTGCAGTGTAGACTGCTCCGAGGCATCACTGATGGCGAATGCATTAAGGATCCAATAGATTATGCACGCATCTTTAATTTGAGATTTTGTATCAAGTGACACACAATTAGTTTTGGACATTTTCAACAATATGAATACAGAATAAAAATGAATGAAGAAAATTCCATGTTAGTATCATTATCATTAAGGGTTATTTGTTAAACTAATCCTTTTTTAATTAACAGATTATCGTACATAAGAGAAATAATACTTTAATGGTGAAATATTTATGTTCAAAACATTTTTAATAAGCCATCTTTAAGTTACATATTAAAAGAAAACAACGAAAGAATAATATAAATAATCAAATGTATTCTAAACATTTGGATAAGAATGCCTATTAAAATGTTTATAGTGTTTGATTCTATTCTTACTGTAAAGAAATTGCTTGTAACGACAATATTTTTTAAATGTAAATTCATATTTTAGATGAAAGGTATTTATGATTTGTGAGTTAAAAGTTACTTAAAATAAAAAAGAAAAGCCAAATTAGAAATGTTTCATGTTATGCTCTGAGAATAAATGTTAAAGATTTGGCGCGAGTGATTTATTTTGTCTTAAAATTATATTTTCTAACATATTTAAAGAATTAAATTAGGATAATGCCTTGTAAGATATTTAAGATATTAAATATGTCACTTATAAGTGAAAACATGAAAGTCAGTCAAGTGAAGATCTTGAAATAAATTCTTAGACTTTGTTTCCTGTCTTTGCATTACTTTTTGACACAGTACCCCCATTGCATTCTATACATTTTCTCTAGCATTTTACTAGAATTTCTATCAGTGGTCCAAAAATATCATCACTTAGTCTGGTGCTTACCAAAGCATACTCATGGGATATGAAGATTTAGAAGTAGGTGGCAATTTTTGGCCATGTGCCACCAGTATGTACAATCAGTATTAAGAAAATATGCTATAGTAACAAATTACATTAAATGTATTTAATTTATTGAAAAATATATAATTTATATGACTTCTATTCAAGCTTTAAGTGCTGCATTTGGGTGGTTTGTAAAAGAATTTTTTTTTTATGTCGAAACTTTCGGAAATATTGTCTTAGACTATTGTAATTTTGGACTACTGAAGGAAGCATTTGGAATGAGAAAGTTCTGTTCTGATGAGGAAATCAGAGGAGTAAGAATGAAGCTTTACATTTATCTGATGGACTTTTTCACAGAAAACCCAGTAATCGCTGAAGAGGAGCATAGAAAATAGCAGTTGTGTTGAAAATGTGATGCAAGTATAGGAAACATACTGCAGTAAAGAAAGTAACAGTTACTTTAAAGTTTTTATTTAACCAATTTTTTTATTCATAGGCTGTTTGCGATGTAATATTTTATGTTACAACAGTGTACAAAACTCAATTTATATATATTACATTATTGATCCTTAAATATACAATAAGTGCTTCTTTTGTATCTTTTTATATACTTAACAAACATTATTAAAAGTTTTTTATTTATAGAAAACTTGAAAATTATAAATTAAATTTTTGTTTTTTATAATATAGACAGACACAGAAGTCGATCAAGATCACTCTCACCTAGGGGACGTTCTCCTCGCAGACACAGAAGCAGGTAATTATAACAATAAAAATTAGCAAAGTTTAAGAAAATCTGTAAAGTTAAATTTGAAAGAGATTTTTAATATTAAAAGCCATAAAGAAGTTTAAATTTTGAGTTAATATTATACATTTGTAACTCAAAAATCACGTTGAAAGTCATGTTTTAATTCTTTTCAGTATTATATATATAGATTGTTAATGTTTTAAGGGTATTAAAATGGCTTTTATTTTGCCCATTATGGGCTTAATCAAGTTTGCATTGGAGTTACGGGTGGTGTGAATGAGATCCATCTGATTTATATGGAACAAATCACTCAAAAATTTATGAGGCTTCAACATAGGTCCAAAGTTGCCAGAGTGACAGACTTCACTGTTGTTCAGCTTTTCCATGTGTATGAGGGTCATTTTTATAAGAAATGCATGCTAATTCTTTGAATACATATTTAAAATGTCATATGTTGTTTTCTATTTTTTAATGATGATGATCTAATGGTCCACAGTTCCAGTCAGGTTTCCTGTTTGGTTCTGCTGTTGGATACTATGTAACTGCTGCAGAAAGGTCCTCTGGAAAAGAAAACTTTCTATCTATAAATGGATAATTTGAGCTTGAGTCAGTCTGATGGACTCATATGTAAACTGTAGGGCACATAAAGTAACAGTACCAAGTTCACCTACAAATCTGTCATCATTTTTTGCCATGTATAGGTATGAATTGTTGTTCAGCATGAGCGAACTATCTTTGAGTAAGTCAGGTTAGTTGTCATGCATTTGTCTTTATAATTTTTGTCCTAAGTTATATTAACAGGCTGCTGTGACATTTGTTCCATACAGTATTCTATCTGATTTGAAGATCAATGTAATGCCAAGGTGAAGATCAACGCCATTGATGTTTTTGGCCTCTCTGACTGCAGTTCTTGTTTATGCTACACATTCTTTACAGAATGAATAGTACAGTGAAAACTACTCAGTTTACTCTGATTGCCTCAAGTAAAGCACTGTGATGTCTGTTGGATTTTTGTTACAGTAAGTCTTGGTCTCAAGATATGACCATTGATCTTCACGCATCACTACCTAAGGTTTCTGCATGGACCATTTCTAACACTTGTCAATCTATAAATCCACACATTTCAAAAGTAGCAAAGCCACACCCCACTTCCTCTAGCCTCAGGCTGCAACTATAACTAGCTCATCATGGAGGTTGTATTATCCTTTTTGCAACACTGCCACATTGTGCATTTCTTATGAAATGACCCTTATTATTTATATATTTACTTTAACGAGGATATTGTATCATTGATTATTAAGTCTCTATCTATTTATGATTATAATTAAAGTGTATATCCATATTAATACGAACCAGTTTAATGAATTGTTCAGATCAGTTTCGTTTAATTGAATCAGTTAACTTTTAAGTTAAAATTACTTTTTGCTACATTAGATTTTGTACTGTTCTAAAAAGGTTCGTAAGTACCAAATAGCTTTCTTAAAGTTGTAGTTTGTAAAATAAAATCGTGCAATACAATTTTACTAAAATATTTCTATCATTAGGTCTCCCAGAAGAAGATCATGGTCTAGATCACCGAGAAGAAAGATGAGGTATGTATTTAATGACAATTTTTATTGAAGACTGTGTATGCATGTATGACATGCATTTTGTAGGTGTATGATTATTGTTTAACTTGAACTTCGACTTTAACGAGGCACTTTATCATAAAGCAATTTTTAAATGGGCTTTTGTAAGTTTAAAAAAGTATAGATGTGTTATAAACGCATTGAGAAGTAACATTGTAGTAGTTTTATGTGACAAAATACAAAATATTTCTGTTTTAGCATTCCTGTAAAATGCGCATTATGTCCGTGAGTCTGTTATCTTTTGATATGTTATTTTATATTTATTTTAAACATGTTACATAGATTAATTTCATGTAGAACATTTTAAATTCATTTGTAATTACACATACAGAATTTTTAGAAAATTTGTGGCTTATGTAGACTTAAATAAGTGTTTTTAAATGACATTAAAAATATGTTGAACTACTTTTGTTCATTCTAAACCAGCTAATTTTATTGTTGTATTGATTATTTTCTGTTTATATTAGGAAAATAATAAATGATAAGTTACTAAAAAAGTAAGTAAAATTTTTTTAATTAACAGATTATCATCATAGGAAACTATCACAGTTTAGTTTGTTCTGTAATAAGAAATTTTGATAATTATTGATTATTATTTTAGGCAATTAAATCTATTCTATGTACACTCAAATCCTGTTTATTGCACTGAGAAAAATATTGTATATAAGTGAGAAAAATGTATAAGTGAAACTACTTTTGAATTGATTTTCAGGGTGAATATATTTCTTGCAAAAGTATGGCATGGTGTAAATTAACACTGTACAGCTGAATTTGTACTCTAAAAGCACAATATACTGTATGTACTCAAGTCATAACAAAACTTAATAAATAGACCAGTTTTTAATTATGTATTACATTCATTCTGATGACATAAACCTATTAACTTGTATGACCCTCATCCCCAGTTAGTCTGACTTAGCAGAAATCAACTGTGGCTGCAAATGAGAGGTCTTGCATCTTATTTAAAAATCTATGCACACAATATATTTACCAATAGGAATATTTTAAACATTTGCATCATAATCTTTTACTACAGGTACCAAGTTGCATCTTAAAAATGTAAAAAGGTTGTGCTACATACATTTTAAAGTGTCCTTGTGGGTGTTTGTGAAGTCTTGGCGCATATGTTTTAACCTAACATTATTGCAATAGGCTTGCAAAACATGCTGTAAAAGCATTTATAGTGCTAGAAATTATTTTGTTAAATAAAAAAGAAAAAGATGAATAAATTAAGTATTAATTGTGAAAAGTTTGTCTATAGAAATATTTATTCATTTCAATATTTTATATTATTTACTTTTGTTCTTGTAGAGACAGCGGAGAAGGCTCAAGCAAGGACTCTCGTGGTGCCGTTCCAAAATTTTTAATGG